TCTCTCTCTCTCTCTCTCTCTATATATATATATAATTTATTTAATTAAATAATAAAAAGTCATAAGTAATATATATATATATATATACGTCACACGTCTGTTTATCAATTTGCACTGGCTACCAATAGCTGCTCGCATAAAATTCAAGGCATTAATGTTTGACTACAAACCCACCACTGGCTCTAGCATCCATTGCTGAGACACTGATGCAATGCTCAAAACAAACTCATCTCATCTTCAACAAATTTCATTTGTTTATTTTTTTAGTGAACTATTCCTTTAAAGGTGTAGTGTGTCATTTCTGCACAGCTGGCTGCACCAAACAGAAATAATGAGGAAGGTATTCACTTCAGATTATTTGCATGAGCTTCTGCTTTGTTCTAGCACCTGATACACTAAAGGAATTATGCAGATCAGGTAACGGCACAAAATGTGTGCTCAACACAATTAGATAAATTCCCCACCTCGCAGCTCGGTGCAGACTGTTAGGTTGATCTGACATAAGGTTGCTTTGTAAGAAATGCAGTGCAATCTTATTCACTAACTGTGTACCTGCAATCTACTTTAACCAGGTGCTACATTTTCCACAAAAAAAAAAAGAAAAGAAAAAAATGTAATTGTCATTCATCACAAACATGCATTCTTTCTTTGTATGTAAATTCATCTTATTATAGATTACACTATTAGTATGCAAAAAAATCTACTAACAAACCCATAATGATAAATGATGAACAACTCGAAAAATCCCACAGACTTACTGAATACATTTAAGGACAAACCCAAGCGATTTCTAGAGACCTGTTCTAACAAGCAACCTCACACTGTAACTCCTAATCTGAGCCGTACAGCTGCTCGCCTGATGTCTTTTACATTAATGAACAATATGTCACACTCTATGAGAGAAAGAAATAGCGGGAGATTTATAAAGAGGGATTGACAGAGAGAGAGGGATTGCTGGTGTGCAATCGTTTCATATGCTTATTTACTAGATATGAATAAATCATCATGCTAATATATGTAAAACACCGTCATTGTGTGAAATTATTTTACTCTGAATATGCTGGGCTAAATATGTGCTTTCAAGCTGTATATCATGTATGCAGTGTATGCATTGCAGAGAGACGCTCAAACACGATGCATGAGATCCTGGTCTTTAATCTCGGAGCGCCGGAGCTCATCCGGTCGGGAAGGTGGTGGCTCCGAGTGCAAGAGCAGATTTGCTGTAATCCACAAGTCAGTTTTTCCACTGATAACAACCACAATAAAAAGACCACCAAACACATAAACATGTAAAGGAGATATTAAAATAGAGTTAGAGCATTGAAACCGCACACTATTTCAGCCTGCAGCATGATAAAACTGTAAAAGCAAACACAGACTTACAATGTAAGTAAATTTATCCTTTTCTTATATACAATTATACAGATTTAAATTTTACATTAAAATGAACATAAGTGAATATTTTTAACCTTAAATTTGTAAAATATCAATTTGATATGGCAATCTCAAACTACAAATGGGCTGAAAAAAAAAAGAATTCATAAAAAATCATAAAAAATAAATAATTAATAGTAAATATATCAACAATTGAAGGATTACTAAATAAAATAAGACTTTCAAGTAATTATGTGTATATATACTCTTTCTCTCTCTCTCTCTCTCTCTCTCTCTCTCTATATATATATATAATTTATTTAATTAAATAATAAAAAGTCATAAGTAATATATATATATATATATACGTCACACGTCTGTTTATCAATTTGCACTGGCTACCAATAGCTGCTCGCATAAAATTCAAGGCATTAATGTTTGCCTACAAAACCACCACTGGCTCTGCACTTGATACTTTGACAATATTGTACTTGTTTAGAGTGGAACCAGTGAAGCTTTGCTGTTAACTGATTATGAGGTTATGACTCTCTCTCATAAGTGAGGTAGTAAAGTTTATCGCTCAATACAGCATCTGAGTACAGCAGCTGTGAACACAAAGCATTGAATGTGTGCTTTTTTAGTGCAGATCCATGTTAAGTCAAGCTCTTTTCTATTCACAACACTGAAGAAGAACAGAGTTTGATCCGAGTGTCTACTGTACAATACATACATTGTTCACATCTTCTCATCCGGCAGTTCCTCTATTTTCTGATGTATGAAATCACGTCTGTGTTAAATACAGAGTCAATAAGACTGTTTCAGATCCCGAACACAGACAACGTAAAAGTAAAAACAAACATCCAAACACAGAGTCAAAACACAAACGCTAAATCCAAAAAAGCAGGTTTCTAAACGCAGCGATACAAGTTCAAACCAACAGATCAATGTGTGTGTGTGCCGTGTGTGTGTTTAGGTGCCTTAAAGCAAATGCGTTCTGCCTCACATCAACGTCAACGTGTCAACACAAACTAATCAGGATTATATTCAAATGAAGAGAGATTTCTGAACGTGCCCTCCAGAAAAACACAGATGAAAAGAAAATGAAACTGCACAAAGGTTTGAGCTTTTCTTTTCTGTGACATCTCATGGCAACATGTCAATCCGAATTAATAAGAAATGACAGCAGAGGCTGAGAGGTGTGCGGTAAGTGTGTGTGTGTGTGTGTGTGTGTGTGTTTGTGTGAAATCTATAGATTGACACCTGGTTCCTATGGCAACCTAAAGATGGTCCTGTAACCTGTGAAACAGATGCTGTGTGTGTGTGTGTGTGTGAATCTAACCATAGATGGTCTGCTGTCAAAGGTTGTGGCACACACACACACACACACACACACACACACACACACACACACACACACACCTCCAACAAGCACATATAAATGTTCAAATGCCACAGAAACAGCAGAAGGACATCGGCTGCAGGTCATCCCTGGTGTGTTTAAGTGTGTGTGTGTGTGTGTGTGTGCAGACACTTCAGTCTGTGAGATCTGAACCTTAGGTTGCACAGTTTTGTCATTTTTTCAATATCAGTGTTTATTTTGTCTTTCTTAAAGGGACAGTTCACCCAAAAATGAAACTCATACAGGTCTGTTGTTCCAAACCTATAGGGGTTTCTTTTAGCTGTTGAACACAAAAGAAGATATTTTAAGGAATGTTGGTAACCAAACAGTTGACGGTAGCCATTGACTTCCATAGTATGGAAGTCAATGGCTACTGTAAACATGAAGGTAAGCATGGGTGAACTGTCCCTTTAATATCTATAATTCACTGTGTGAAACAGCTTGAGATTTAGATTGAGAGTATTTCATGTGTAAAAAAAGTTACTTGCTTCATTAAAAGTTAATTACTTCAGAAAAGAGAAAAAACTCAAAAACAAACATCAGACATCTATGTAGCCTATGCAAAAAAACAAACAAAAAAAAACAATAATGGAGCATCAAAATAACCATTAACAATAGTGAATGTAATGATTCTATTTAAGGAAAGTAAACATACAAAGTAAAATCATACACTAAAACTGCATACACTGGTACAACTGCAATTAAAAATGTAATAATCTAATCAAATAAATAAAATGTTTCTCTCTCTCTTTTGTGTGTGTGTGTGTGTATATACTGTATAAATATACTGTATACACACACACACACTGCATAAATACAATCTTAATGCATTTATAATTCATTCAAATTAACCTTACAATCATTTGCATTTGTACAGGTATGTGGTTATTGTAAACAAAGTCGCTGAATTACAATTTAAGACTCAACTATTCAGGCTCACACTTTTAGAAAATATAATGCAGCACAAGATCAAAACCAAGTTCCATGTGTCATACTGTTTTATAATGAATTACAGTCTCTAAAAGCATGCTCATGAATTAACAGTGTGCATTTAAATGATTTATGAAAAGATACAGAGGATTACAGGATGCGTTATTAAGCATTATGAAAACATTAAAAAACGCATCATTTATACAGGTTTCGAGAAAGACTAAAAATGAAAAATGCTGTGTTTAAAGGTTTGTGTTAGCTTTATTTAAAAATAACAAGTCTATGGCACGTCCTTACTGAGATCAATGTATGTGAGATTGAGTCAGAGGGAATTGCCTTTTAATCTAAATGCTCTAATGTCAGATGTGTGTGTGTTTGAGTGTGTGTTTGAGTGAGTGTGTGTGTGTGTGTGTGGGTGTGTTTGAGTGTGTGTGTGTGTGTGTGTGTGTGTGTGTGTGTGTGTGTGTGTGTGCGTGTGTG